GCACCCGCTCCTGGGGGAGGCGCTCCCCAGCGGGGCTGTCCCCGTCCGTCCTGGAGGTGCCATCCTGGACCGTGGAGTAGCCGATGGAGAGGTCTTCATCAGAAACGATAGGGGGGTGACCACAGGCCTCGCCTGCTCTGGACGCTGCGTGCTCGTGGGCCTGCGGGTGCCGCGCGGGCAGCTCGTCTTGCAGCACTGAGAACCCTGCGGAGGACAGCGGGTCAGGAGCGGCTTGACGCCCGGCCACGTTGGACACCTTCCTGAGCTCCTGAGTGACTCCACGTGCCCGTCCTGGGGGGGAGGGGGTCCATAGCGCCAAAGCTGACCCAGATTCTGCCTGCCTTTGACGTGCAGGTCCTGTGGGGTCGGGCAAAGAGGAACCCACGGCCACGCAGAGGCTGGGCCACAGGAGCAGAGACGGAGGGCGGGAACGAGGAGCTGCTGAGGGGATGTGCAGAAGTGAGGCGTGAGCAGCAGCAGCTGAACGCTCTGCAGGTGAGCAGGCCAGTTGGGGCTGTGGGTGCTCTGGGGGCCCCTGCCTGAGGCCGGACACCCCGGCCGCTGTGAGGGCTCTGGGAGGCTGAGGCGGAGGTGGAGGCGTGACGGCCCCACCCATTTACTCACTGACACCTGACAGCCGGGAGGAGCCGGGAAGCCCTTCCTCATGGGACTCGGAGGGCAGGCAGTGGGGAGGCCCGGAGGGCGCCTGGGAGCGTCTCTGCAGACCCACGGGGCTGAGATGGGAGGACTGCCCACGCGGGGACAGAGGGCGGCCTGAACCGGGGGGCACGTTTGCCGTCACTGAAACCCATGCAACTTGAGCGCTGCCGAAGGACAGAGCAGGAAGCCGGGGGAAAGGCAGAGAGAGAGGAGCAGAGCAGGGGCGGGTGAAGAACGTTCTAGAAGGAAGGGGCTGGTTCTGTGCATCAGACGTGACTAAAGGCGAAGCAAGAAGAGCATGGGAGCCACGGGAGGATTCACCGCGCAGCATGAGGCCCTGGCCACGCGGCGGCCACCTCTGTTTGGAGGTGCCCGGAGAGCTGACTTGGGGGGACAGGCGGGGAGCAGATTCAGGGTGTCCGCGCTTTTGAAGAGATCACCTGTAAGAAACAGCCATCGCGCGGGCACAGTGCGGTGAGCACGGTCCGGCTGGGAGCCAGGGCAGCTGTAGGGGTGACGCTCTTAACTGGACAAAAGACCAGGGTCTTAGCCAAACTGAGAGTGGGCGGCCTGCAGGCAGGAGATGGGGTGCCTGAATGTGAGTGTCTGCTTGTGATTGTTCCTATTCCTTACAAATTTACTTTTATTGATTTCAGAGAGGAAGGGAGAAGAAGAGAGACAGAAACATCAATGATGACAGAGGCTCACTGATCGGCTGCCTCCTGCACGCCCCCTACTGGGGACTGAGCCCACAACCTGGGCCTGTGCCCTGACTGGGAATTGAACTGTGACTTCCTGGTTTAAAGTTCAACACTCAACCACTGAGCCATGTCGGCCGGGCTGATTGTTCCTACTTTTTCTAAGAAACATGAAGCCTGATCCTCAGCTCAGAATTAAGTAGTGAGCCACGCTGGCAGCGTGAAGGAGAAGAGCTGTGAGACTGAGAAGAGAGGAGAGGGGGGCAGAGAGGAGAGGGAGGCAGAGTGAGCTGCCTGGCGATGGAATGAACTAGGAACTTTGATGCCAGAGGTCCTAGTGGGTCTGAATCACGGCTGGTCTGGAGCAGGAGGTGAAGTCAGGGCCGTGCTTCCTGGGAGAGGGGAGTCGTGGGGCCACGGAGACAGGCACAGTCTCGTGGGCACAGCACAGACGTGGAGCTGAGGGGAAGCACTGGTGGGTCATCCCAGTCCGTGGCCGGGTAGACAGAAGGTCTGTCCCCTTCAAAGCCATGTTGAAACCAGTCCCGAGGTGGTGGCCAGCAGGTGGCCGTTGGGAGGGAGGGTGCTGAGGTGAACCTGTGGGGGTTCCTGTCTGGGAAGGGCGAAGGCGCAGCGGGAGGAGGCATCCCCAGACTTCCTGTCTCCACGACAGAGAGAAACCTCTGCTTTAAGCCACAGTTTTTGGTGCTGCCTTCCAGCCAAGCTGAGCCTCTGATGAATGAACAAGGAGTGAGCGGCGTGGGGCACCTCTCAATGGCAGAGAAGCCCCAGGGCAGCAAGGAGAACGTGTGAGCAGCCACGGCGACCCCCCTCTAGGCAAGGGAGGCGGGCCCAGCTGCTTGAATTAGCCACAGACGCACACACAGGCACACGCATGCACACACACGCGCAGGCACACTGCCCGACCTTCGCTGTGGTCCAGCGTGATGGTCTGCTCCATCTCGGCGTAGCTGTGGCTGGCGCGCTCCAGGAGCGGCTCCGTGCTGGTCTCCAGGAGATGCACAATGTCCATGCGGTTGATCTTGGTGAGGCATTCGATGAGGCTGGTGTCTGGGATGTGAAAGGAAAGCATGGATTGCATGGGGGCGTGCTCTTTTGAAAACCACCTTCCTTTAGCTGCCTTACTAAAATGTTGGTATTTGTACAGGAAACAACAAGCCCAAATAAAGTTATTTGTAAAAAGAAGCAAAAAGACAAACAGCAGATAAGCAGGAAAAGTGTGAACCGGCCTGGGTACAGCCTCGCAGTAGAACTGCCAGGTAACGGACAGGACCCCCGTCAGTTCTGAACTGAAGACAAAAGCCAAAGACTTGTTCAGCAGGAGCACAGCCCCCTGTGGCACGGGATATGCTCATCACAGGAAAAGTGCTTGCTGACTCTGTGAAGGTCAAGTCTCACGGTTCCCTCTCTTCTTATTGGTGAAATCCTGCAAAGGCCCCCAGATGGTGAGGGGAGGTACGGAGACAGAGGGGAATATTGGGACTCTGGCTGGAGCTGTGGAGACGCTCAGGGAAGCGGCCTCTGGGACAAGCAAGGGTGGGAAGTGTACGTGATCGCCAAGGTCAGAAGGTCACACACAGCACTGGGAGAGTACCTGCTCCCCCCAACGTAAGTTATTTAGCGGTACAGGCAGGAGGAGCAGGAGGTACAGTCACTGCCAATAAAACACGAGAATTAACACAACTGTGTCTACCATCAATGTTTAGAAAACGTAGGACTTTAATAACATTCCTGCCTGGCTGCTGTGGCTCAGTGGTTGAGTGTCGACCTATGAACCAGGAGGTCAGGGTACGATTCCCGGTCAGGGCACAGGCCTGGGTTGTGGGCTCGATCCCCAGTGTGGGGCGTGCAGGAGGCAGCCGATCAATGATTCTCTCTCATGGCTGATGTTTCTCTCTCTCTCCATCGCCTTCCTCTCTGCAATCAATAAAGTCTATTTTAACAAGTAACGTCCCTGCTAGCAGCCTGGGCTGCCGCCCTCCCCCCAGTGACACTGGCCACAGGAACCCAACGCAGGGGTCTCAGGACAAGAGGTTTTAGAGACGCTGTGCATGTTCTTGTGGTGGCAGCCGTGCTCGGCACCTGTCATGTGACCCGATGGAAGGGCAGGAAGGCACGTGTGGGACGCCACCTGCTCCCCCCGCCCGTCCTGCCCGAGCCGCCTACCGGTGGCGAGCTTCCCGTCCCGCTCCAGCCAGTACTTGAGCAGCGCGTGGCTCTGGTCCTGCAGGGAGTTGGGGTTCTCCACCCGGATCTGGTGGATCTGCTCCTCGGAGAAGTCCAGCTCTCTGGCCAGTTCTGGAAGAGAAGCCGCCGCCTGTGAGCGGGAGCCTCGGAGCTGGCGCCCCCACGCCCGCCGGGTTCTGGGCAGGGGCTCTCCGTGCTGCACGTGACGGGACCACGGTCCCCACGCAGGAGCACGAGGCGCACACACCTTTGCTCTTCTGATGCTAGTTCTAGACTTCCCTTAAAGGTGCATCCAGAATTGTTCACTGTCCTGGTGGAAAGAGTAGGCTGGAGGCTCTGGTGATAAAATACGTGTTATGTGGTCCCATTTAATTCCAAAACGCAGATGAGACCATTAGTGCCGACTCCTACTCTTAACCAACATTATGGGAAACAAACCACTGCAAAGGAGACGTGGGCCGCTCCTCGCCCTTGTCCTCCTTCGGGACAGACGTCTTCAGCACCGTCATTCCTGTGCTCAGCACTGCACTTGGCACACACTGGTTGTGGCTGCATGACGGTGGCTGAATAAATTCCTGTCTCTGATTTGATGTCATGTAAGTAACAGTCTAGGACAGCCGTGGGCAAACTACGGCCCGCGGGCCGGATCCGGCCCGTTTGAAATGAATAAAACTAAAAAAAAAAGACCGTACCCTTTTATGTAATGATGTTTACTTTGAATTTATATTAGTTCACACAAACACTCCATCCATGCTTTTGTTCCGGCCCTCCGGTCCAGTTTAAGAACCCATTGTGGCCCTCGAGTCAAAAAGTTTGTCCACCCCTGGCCTAGGAAGACTTGCCCTAGACTTGTCCTTGTCAACACGGACATGCTGCGTGGATGCCTGTGCTCTGTGGGTGTGCGTGTGCAATGAGAGGTCTGCCTGGAAGGGCAATGTGCCAATACCTTTCAGAATTAAAAATGTAGCCCAGCCGAAGCCGGTTTGGCTCGGTGGATAGAGCGTCGGCCTGCGGACTGAAGGGTCCCAGGTTTGATTCCGGTCAAGGGCATGTACCTGGGTTGCGGGCACATCCCCAGTGGGGGATGTGCAGGAGGCAGCTGATCGATGTTTCTCTCTCATCGATGTTTCTAACTCTCTATCTCTCTCCCTTCCTCTCTGTAAAAAATCAATAAAATATATTAAAAAAAAATGTAGCCCAGCTGGCGTGGGTCAGTGATGGGGCATTGGCCTATGAACCAGATCACGGTTTAATTCCTGGTCAGGGCACATGCTTGGGTTGCAGGCTGGATCCCCAGTTGGGGGGGGGGGGTGGACGGGGGCGTGCAGAAGGCAGCCGGTCAATGATTCTCTCTCATCATTGACATTTCTCTCTCTCCCTTCCTCTCTGAAATCAGTGGAAGTATAACACACACACACACACACACGCACCCTTTTACCCAACAATTCCGCTCCTAGCACGTGCCCTCCAGCTTTGCTCATAGAAATATCCCAGTGCACGCGTACTGATCACATTAGCAGGACACAACCACATGCCCAGCAGTGAAGACCACTGGCAGGTACAGCACCTCCACAGAATTCAATGGTCATTTAAAAGGACGAGCTGGATGCGTCTCTGGTGATGGACTATTTATGAGATTTAAGTAAATTTGCTTCTTTTTAAATAAGAGGCATGCATGTGAGCACTGCATGTTTTCTGAATGCATGGACGTCCCAGCAGTCACCTTTGGGGCATGAGGTCAGAGGACCAGATGTAGGCAAGAGACTTTTTTACTTTTCATTTTCATACCACTGTGTATGGTTGTAGGGTCTTACTTTTCAATATGTCTAATGATATTACATTTAATATGTATGTACATATGAATCTAAGAAACAAAATAGCCCTGGCTGGTGTTTTTCAGTGGTTGGAGTGTCGGCCCATGGACCAAAGGGTCACAGATTCGATTCCTGCTCAAGGGCACCTACCTGGGTTGTGCAGGTCCAACCCCTGGTCCCAGTTCGGCCGCTTGCGGGAGGCAAGCAACCATGTCTCTTTCACATTAATGTTTCCCTCTCTCTCTCTCTCCCCCCCCATCCCGCTCCCTCCCTCCCTCTCCAAAATCAATGGAAAAATATCCTCTGGTGAGGATTAACAACAACAACAGAAGAAGAAGGAGGAGGAGGAAGGGGGAGGAGGAGGAGGGAGGAGGAAGAAAGAAAAAAACGAAATAAAGTAATTCTGAATGTTACCTATTCAATAAGTCAACCAGGGATATTTGCTGTCCTTCCTTCCTCTGAATTCCTCAATTAAATAAATCTGATCAGTTTTTAAAGAAAATGGCTATTCTTCCTGCTTCTAGTCACTTATTGCATGTTATTATCTTTGCTATGGGCATTTTGGTCTCCTATTCATCAACAAATCTTTAAGAAACTTAACGACGACAAACATTAATTTTACACCATTTGTTTCAATCAGGTAATCACAAGTGATACAAGAGGAAGTCAGACCAAAAAAAGGGAAAGAAATAAAAGAAAGCCAGAGGCTGTAACTGGCCAGCCCGGGCGAGGTGAGAGGGAGCCGTGATTTATAAACCATACTGATCTCAGGATCCACTTCTCCTCAGTGAGTCACTGAACATGTATTATAGTTCCTACTCTCAAGCGTCCCCGTCTCCCACAGCCACATGCACTCAGCATTCGCCCAGAGCCACCGTCAGCACCACTCTCCACAGAGACCGAGACACAGCGTCCAAAACAAGGAGCCCTGGTCAGTCTCACATGAAACACTAGAGCGACCTCCGGCAACGGTTTTGAAAATCAGCCCTCTCCCCGAAGTTCAGCACCCACAGCCCCAGAGGAGTGCTGTGGGGTGGGCACATTCTTAGACTCTCCCATAGTCTCCTACTGTCCCGAGTCCCGGGGGCGAGAGGCCTGCCCCAGTTCCCAGGACGGTCCACAGAGCCCTGGTCTCCTACCCTGCACTGTATTCTCCTCGCTGTCCCTCGGGGCTTCCTCAAGGGAAGGAAAAGGAGACCTTTCTCATTGTTCATGACCCGTGGCTGAGGCCACCTTGTCATTCACAACCAGCGGGCTTTGTTGGAAAGTGGCCGCTCGTGTTACCTGTCCAGCTGAAGCCCAGGTGGTCGGCGATGTAGGCCAGCCGCTCCTCCATCCGCTCCTGCGCATCCTGCTGATCTGCACAAGGTCAAGAACAGAATGGCCATGACTGTCTGTGCCGGGAGAGGATCCCGCACTGACCATCCAGAGAGGAAGTCACTTGTCCAAACAGTCGATGGTCGCACCATCGCGCTATCACCCTTACATCACGCGAGTGTGTGTGCCTGGCTTCTGGAATGGAATGGGAGGAAGTCTGAGACATCATGGAAACCACGTGCTTCCCATCTCTCCAATCAAGACCAGTCCCTGCACTAATTCTGAAGCTGTGATTTCTAGCCAGCGTCACACTCCCCTTCCCGATGGCCCCAGAGAACAATGCCCACCAGGAAACGATCACCCTCCTTGTCAGATGCCCGCGAGCTTGGAGCTGGGCTGCAGACACGGAGGGAAGGGTCAGGCCTCCCCTTGCTCCGGGCCGCACAGGTCCCTCCCACCCGAGGGTCACACGAGACTGAGGCCTGGTCTGGCCCGAGACCACACCTGCCTTGGCCTTGGTGACCCTGGGGGAGGGCAGTGAGGGACGTGTTTGCATGTATGCCTTTTGGGCAAAGTTTTTGTCTGCTTACCAACAAGCAAGCGCTTCTATTACCCCCACAAACTGATGTTCCATTCATGTTTAACCCCACTAATGGATGGGCAGTGTTTTAGATCACAGTGTGTGACACCCCCTATCACGCAAATTTAAAAGTCCTGGTCTTTATTGCAGAGATACCGGAAGCTCCGGGGCCACTTCTCAGCGCCATCTGCGGTTTCCATGGTGATAACTCAGCGCCATCGGCCCCTCACAGTCCACTAAGTCATGCACAGCTGGAGTTTTGTTGTCTGCTGCTTCCAACCGGGCCGCGTCAATGAGAAGCACCGTTTACCTTATGCTGGTGTGTGAAAACGTGACCAGCGGGATCTGAAATCCAACCTTTCTGAATCAAAAACAGATCCACTAAGCTGGAATTTCCTATGTGAAATCTTCTTGAGCAAAGGACATCCTAATGATGACAAAAATTATGTGTCAATTATCTTCAAGTACAGAAAGGTGAAGAAAAGCCACGGATCCAGATAATACAAACCCAACACACTTCGGTGCAAGAGCAGGCGTGCTGGGCTGCAGGCGGGGCCCGGCCCTGCAGAGCAACAAAACTCCCTGTGGGCGCGGCTCGCATGCGACGGCCGGCCGGATGAGGCAGGGCCGTGGCCGGTGTGGTCACGTTCCCACACGCATTCTCACGGCTCAATCTTGAGATTGTTTTCACAGACAAGAGTGTACAGAGAAAGCACACAACACGAAGGGCTCACACAAACACAGGAGCCTCTGCGGAAGCTTAAAGAAAACGAGACTCGAACCACCAAAGGAAACAGACAAACGGCACAGCGACAGGGCTCGTGACATGCGGGGCCCAGGGAGCCCGGGGGGCAATACCTTCCGTGGGGTCATGGCCACTCTCATCGGGGATGCGCTCAATCAGAGTCTCAATGGGCTCATCCCAGATGGGCCTGGCGTCAAAGATGTCCTCAGGGCCCGCGCGCTCGGGCGCGGCAGGTGGCAGGCTCTCGATCACCGAGGCTTCCAGGGCGCTACTGCTCTCGTCATCCGAGACTGCCTCCTGCTCCCTCTCTGCCTGGCTGAGCCTGTCCACTAGCTTGGACGCCTCCTCGCTAATCTCCTCGAAGAACTCTATGGAGTCCCTGTAAAGGTCAAGGAAGTGCTCCCTGCTCTCCCGGGTGGGGCTTGGGGCCCCCCTGCAGGAAGATGGGGCGCCTCTGCTCTTCACCGGCAGGCGGGAGGCAAACACCTTGGGTCTCGAGGCTGCGGCCTCCGACTCGAGCGTGAGCTCCTCCGCCCACTCCCCGCTCTCTGCTTCGGCCTCAGCACAGCTTGGAGCTTTCGCTGGACTTCTGGTCTTTGAGTCCCAAGGCCTGGCCTCTGAGTCAGAGGTGCCCCTGTCACCTGCGGCCCTGCCTGGCACGTCCTGTCCCTGAGGAGGCCCCGTCTTCTGCAGGGAGGAGTGCAGAGGCGAAGGCTGCGGCCCCGCTGCGTGGGGGGGCGCCTTCACTGGGATTTTAGACCTGGGCTTTGTCTCCTGCTCGCTCCTGTCCTCGCCTGGGCTGGGCAGCAGGCTCTCCTCTGCAGGGGCCGGGGCGGGGGCGGCAGGGGGCCCGGGCCGGACCAGGGCCTGGGACTGGCTCTCCGAAGGAGGCGCGCTCTCTGTGGCTGCCGTGGGGATCTCAATGACTGACTTCTGCTCCTCCGGGGAGGAGTCAGGAGAGCCACCGTCCTGTCCTGAGACTCCGGACCCAGTGACTGTGGAGACGTCCATCGGGACCTGGACAGCGGGCAGAGGAGGTGTGGCGCCCCCGGGCATGGAGGGCAGGTCCTCGGCGCCCACAGAGGCAACCGACGTGTCCAGGGGGGCTAGGATCCCTGTCGGGGAGCAAAAGTGACTATCGGAAGCCGGGGTTCCCTCTCCCTCCTCACTCAGGTCAGAGGGAAGCAAGTCAGCCAGGTCTGTGTCTTTTGATTCTGAAAGTGCCAGTGACCGAGCTGGTGTCTCCAGCCCTGAGGGCTCGGCGGCAGCCCCGCCTCCTACCATGTCCTCAGAGACGGTCTCCTCCTGGGAGTCCGGCCCAATTTGGAAAAAGTGAAAACCGTCATCGGCATAGGACCTCTTGGTCATGTCGATGGCGCCGCTCCGGGTCATCTCGAACAACTTGCCCTCCTGAAACAGGAACGGGTTCTGGTCACCGGTTGGGGTCCCCTCTTCGGTGGGGGTCCGGGCCGGCGTGGTGTCTGGGGTGGTGCCCTGGGACTGCCTGTCTGCCATCAGACCGAACACCTTCTGCTCCTCCTCCTTCACGCGGGCCTCAAAGGCTTCGTCATCCTCGCGGATCTCGCTCCAGGAATCCGAGTCCACGTGGCTGGTGGTGATGACTACTGTGCTCACCTGTTCGCCGGGGACCGCAGAGGCGCAGGGCTGCGGGGGCCCGACGGACGCAGGGGCGCCATCCACCTGCATCTCCCACAAGGTGCTTTCTTGCGTGGATTTCATGCTCTGGCCCTCAAAAGTGCACTCTCTGCTTGAAACGGTGGCACAGGAGGAGCGGGCCCCCGCCACACCTTCCGCAGAAGACGTGATGGTCACAGAACACGCTTCTGCCGAGTGAAAGCTCACGTATCTCGCCTCTGTCTGGGTTTTGCTCTCTTCGCTGGAGAAAAAAGACTGGGGAGGAACGTTTTCATACGGGCTTGTGATGTGAAGGTCACAGACGTCCTCGGTCCCGGCTCGGTCGGAGCCTGGGCCGTCCGTGGACAGTGTGTCTGTGTGAGTGGTGGTGGCGGCGAGCATGGGGCAGGCCCTGGGGAGCCTCCTGGGGGCGTGGCCGGGTCCTGCGGCCCCCGTTTCCGTGGTGGGAGGTGCAGAGACGAGGTCTTCATCTGACGCTCTTCCTTCAGATGCTGGACCATCAGGCCCTGGGGGCGGAGGTGAAGAGCCTTCGCTGGGGAGCACAGCTCCTGGGCACGCCTCTCCCTCCGAGTCCTTCTTCTCCAGGGGCTGCGGGGCCGATGGCTCCTCCCCGCCAGCCAGCTCCTCCTGGACCTCAGCATGGGGGGCGCCACAGGGACCTGAGGGGCTGGGCGAGGCCCAGCTGCCTGTGCTCCCCGCTTCACACCCGAGGCCCGCGCAGAGTTGGGGCTGGTCAGCATCTCTGTCCAGGCCGTCGGAGGCTGGGTCCGGGCCCCCGGGGCGACCCACCTGGCTGCCTTCCGGCGGATGAGGTGCGCACACTTCTTCTCCCGACGCCCCGGGCCCCTCAGCATCCTCCCTCACCCTGAACGTGTACTGCTTGGAGGCGGTCGGCTGGAAGGGCATTTCCTCGGGGCTGGAGCTGGAGTCCACGCTGGATGGGAGTGGGGACGGCGGCTGCACGTGGATGACCGGCTCCGGGAGCAGGCCTGGGTCAGCGCCCG